CAGAACCACTGTCCTAGAACCTCACACTCACCCAGTAAGTGATAGGCTGCATGAAAGAGCAACAAGTGTGCTGACCGTAGATGTCAAGATTTTAGTCCTTAGTTGGCTTTATGCTGTCAAAGTGACCTTGGATGAACACTTACTCTCTCTGAGGCTCAGTTTCCTCATCTAAAAAATTGAATTAACTTACTTTGTTGTTCAAAGGTATTCAAAGGAAGGAGCAAAATGTGCTCTAAAAATCAAGTTAAAGACCTTTCCCTCAGAATCCTATGTGAGGTATTAGAAGACAACTACACCAACTTCTGCTGGTGTCTTAGGAGGTGCATTTCTGCTGAGAAGCAGGTAACTGTGAGATACCTGCTCACAGGACTGAGGGTTTAGAGTGGTCATGTCTCACTCAGGCACAGCAGGGGCTCATCTTCTGGTCTGGCCCTGAAGGGGACTGTTGGTGAAGCCCCAGTTCAGCCACCTTGGCCCACAGCCCATGTGAGATGGCAGCCAAGGCCCGGTGGCCTGGTGCTGCTGGCCTCCTTTTCCACACAGCCCATGGCTAACCTCATACCCATGCTCATCTGTGTGTTGTCCACACACAATTCCCGGCACAGTAGTAGTTCTCCCACCCAAAAGCATATTGGAGGGCAAGATTTTGAAAGTGATATATTTATATGAAAACCATTAGGTCTGATTTTTTACTTTTAAATATATCGTCCTCCCACTGCAGTGCTCTGTTATTATAATGACAAATTCCAGTGACAGGCCTCACAAAAAAAGTTCTTGTATAAGACACAAGACAGCCTAATGTGTCTTACACTGACACTGAGAACTGGTTTTTTAAATATCTTTCTATCTAGAATTTCATCCTGGGACCTTTCTTCCAGAAGTCTGTTTCAACTTGTCGTGATGTTTTAAATCTTCTGTTTGGTATAGTTCTAAGTAAAGATATATTTAAAACTTGAAATTATTAGCTTGAATTTTACCTTTTCTATTATGCAATGCCCATTTTAAAATACAAATATAAGAGTATTTAGCTAGCATGCAGAATACCAAAATTACAGAATTTGTATTTTATAGTTCATGTATACATATGTATTTAATTCTTATCACAACAGTATAAATACTACACAAAACAAACTCAACTGTTTTCATTTCACTTCCTTTTTTTTCTTTTTCAACTTTTATTTTAGATTCCGTGGGTACACATTCAGATTTGTTACAAAGGTACATTGCTTGGTACTAGAGTTTGGGGTATGATTGATCCCGTCACCAAGAAAGTGAGCGTAGCACCCAATAGGTAGTTTTCCTGCCCCTGCCTCCCTGCCTGCCTCCACCTGTTTGTATTCCCCAGTGTCTATTCCCCATCTTTATGTTCATGTGAATATTACTCTCTACCTTTGGGTTACTGATAGCAAGGGCAGCCTGAAGAAAAAAAAAAGCAATGGGTCGTCTGATATTCCCTTTTCCCCTCCACCATCATTTTCAGTGTAAGTGATTGGCTAATACAGGATGTAATATGAATAAGGAAGGCTACAACAGGGTTCCTTGGTTGTTCACATTTCTTAGTTTTCCATTCTCTCTTTTTGCATTTGAAACAAGTTCTGGATCAAAGGGAAAGTGTGGCCTCTTGGGGAGGTCAGTTTCCTACTTACTCAGTTGAAGACATAACATGATTACCTTGTTCTCACTCTGAGTCCCACTGAAGTCCCACACGTTGTGGGTCCATGGGAATTCTGAATGCTATATGCAAATGGGGCAGCAAGATGTGGTGGACATGCATATTGCAGCCTTCTCCTCCGCTCATAACATGCTCCATTGTCCCATCACACTTTATTCACAAAACAGAGGTTAAGATAAAATTATTAAGAACTTCAAGACTGAGCACGTTGGCTCACACCTGTAATCCTAGAACTTTGTGAGGCCAAGACAGGAAAATGGCTTGAGGCCAGGAGTTCGAGACCAGCTTGGGCAACATAATGAGACCCCCATCTCTGCAAAATAAAAAACTTAGCTGGTTGTCAGTAGCACACACCTGTAGCCCCAGCCACTCAAGAGGTTAAGTTGAAAGGATTGCTTGAGCTCAGGAGTTTGAGGCTGCAGTCAGCTATGATCACACCACTGCATCCCAGCCTGGGTGACAAAGCAAGACCGTCTTAAAAAAAAAAAAAAAATCAGGACAGAGACAGCAGAGATTAAAACCAAGCTCAGGATGCTTCTGAGCACAGGACGCTGGATGGCTCTTAGGTCACATGCCTGTGAAGCTGGCCCTGCCCCACGGCCTCCACTCCTGCCACACTGGACCTGTAGTCCCTTGGACTCACCATGTTCCTTTCTGCTGAAGGGTGCTAAGCCACCACATTCTTAGGGAGACCCTCCCTGCCTTGCCTGACCAGGTCAGAATACTTTTAGTACCACGTAACTCTCCTTCAATGTATTCATCACAACCACCATCCTTCTTTCAGATACTGATTATTTGACTGCTTATTTCCCTTCCTACCAGACTGCAAGCAACTTACAGGCCAGGGCTGGATCTATTTTTGTTTGTTATTGCTTTACCAGTGCTTGGCACATAGTGCCTAAAAAATATTTATGAGAAGAATCAATATTTATGAGGTGGATGAATAAATGAATGAATGTTTTTGCAACCAGAACACAAGTGTCAGGTATTATCCTTTTTACTTGTCTGTCATTTCTACTAGGTAAGAAGTACTTTAGGATAAACCAGCCTTATATTTTAAGGTATGTTAGTCTTTGTGTCCCCAGGCCTAGCACAGTGCCTGAGACTTAGCTCTCAGAAAAATTAGTTCTATTGAATTGAATTGTTCCGTAGATGGAAATATGTCACCTAAACTTTATCTTGTCTTCCCTTTGTATCTCCTCTTTCCTCTCCTCTGTCTTCTTTCCCTCTCTCCTCTCCTTTTCTATTGTTAAGGATTTCTGCATCTTGAAAACTACTTTAGTTGTGATCAGATCTTTCCAAGAGAAGATTACACTCATCTATTCTAGGTTTAACTTGAGTCTTCAAAGATAAATGGTCTGATTAGCTTATAACCATGGCAGTGGTTGGGCACTCCAGAGAATGCCCCAGAAACAGTCTAGACACATTTGTTGATAATATTCTCATATTGGCATTGATCTTGGGAGAGAATCACAAGGCAGATACTTTAGAGGTTCGTCTATTCAACCTGCTAATTTAGAGAAGAATTTAAACTTGAGAGTTTGAGAAACCCTATTCTCCTGCCCTAGAGGCTGCAGAACGTGTCAGATTGCACAGTACAGAAATGCCAAGTGATCCCAGAAAACAGAAGTGAATGGGAACTACCCATCTTGATGGAACCGGGTCCATAACCTGTCTTGTCCATTTATTCCACAAGTACATTGAGAAATGGCTAGGAGGGGTGGTGGCAGGGGGATGGGAGATGGGGGTAGTAGTGAAAAGGGAATGTTAATAATGAAATTGAGGATCAATGAAATTTTTTTTGAAAAGCATAAAGGTAAGATTGGTATTGATTGAACATATCGGAAAACATTGTTAGTAAGAGATCATGGCATGATTCCTATATGTAAATCAGAGGATTTCTTTCCTGAATGAGACTTGAACTGGAATATAGACAGTTTCTTCAGGCAATCCATGGGGTGGTTCCTTAGAAGTTATGGGGCTGTTTGGAGATGGTGTGGTGGGGTAGAGTACATGGACTTAGGAATCAGCCATACCTAGGTTTAATACTTAACTTTAGCTCTATGACACTGAGCAAATATTTAACCTTTCTGATTTTTCTCTTCCTTTTTAAAAAATTTGAATAAATTGATATAAAATACTTGCATGTTTCTTATGAAGGTCAAATGAGGTTCTCTGGGAAGGGGTACAAAGCTTGGTGCCTAGTGCAGAGCAAACATGCAATCATCTCGTCCCTTCTCTTCACTGGGTCAGCTCTTATGAATAGTTGGGCAGGACCTGGACTAGGGTGAGGCAAGAAGGTGCCTGAGTTACCCTGAGAGCAAAGCCTCATTAAATGATGCACCCTAGGTACCCTGCTTGCCCCTCCCTGGCCTCAGCAGTGCAGCTGAGGCAGTGTCAGATCAGGGCTGGAGCGTCTTAGGGTAGATGCCCCCCACCCCGCCACAATCTCTGGGACCATCTAACAGATGACACAGTAGAGGCCCAGACAGTCAGTATCATTTGATTTAAGTCAATCAGCTAGTAACTGGGAAGCCTGGAATGTGAATCTAGGCCTCTGGGCTCTTGGCCTCTGTTTTGGTGCCTTGAAGCCTATAGCTGAACTCTTTTCTCTAATAAGTCTGTACATTTTCTCAATAGGGAAAGAGGACATGTCTCAAATTTTCAGCACTTCTCAAGACATTTACTACAGGTCTTGCATGCAGTTGGGGTTTAATAAATAAACATGCATTGATTGAGAAAAAAAGAGATATTCTCATGGCATTATAATTTTAATGCATGGAAATAGTTATAATAAACATTAACCCAGCCGAAGGAGAGAAATGCGTTAATTTCACAACATGTTCAGCTCTATAAGATGTTAGCTTTTCAGGCTCCACAGGGGATCTGGAACGCTGGAACTCACATAGACTCACTCCCACTGTTTCAAAAGAGAAAACTGTAGTTTGGAAGGGGAAATGGTAGCTGGAGACAGAAAATGGAGAAGTGGGGGAGGTAGAGGGAATTTTGCTACAGTAATGTAGGCAGTGTTTAAACCAGGAGTAAAGGAAAGAGAAAAGCAGTGCTGCTCATGCATCAGTGAGCAAACCCATCACTTGAGGATCCTGTTAAAATGCAGATTCAGTTCAGGAGGTCTGGGTGAGGCCTGGGATTCTGTATTTTTGAGAAGATCCCAGGCGATGCTGATGGTGCTAGCTCAGGGACCACAGTATGTGCATGGAAGAAATTGCATGGAGGGTTTGAGTTTGTGAATCTGGTCCAATGGAAGCACTGTCTTCAATCTGGCAGTTCTCAGTATTCCCACTCACTGTTTTCCATTCTTCTGCAGGGGAAATCTGTGCATTCAAGATACATGGCCAGGAGCTGCCCTTTGAGGCTGTGGTGCTCAACAAGACATCAGGAGAGGGCCGGCTCCGTGCCAGGAGCCCCATTGACTGTGAGTTGCAGAAGGAGTACACATTCATCATCCAGGCTTATGACTGTGGTGCTGGGCCCCGCGAGACGGCCTGGAAAAAGTCACACAAGTGAGTGGCCTGACAGAGCCCTCTGGACGCCCCTCCTTCCCCTGCCCACCCCACTTCATTCACATGCTGCTTTTCAGATACGTTTACCCCCTTGTCACACCATGGTGCTCCAACTTTGCTCAACTGTTCGCCAGTTTCCTGGTCCCATGCAGGCATCTTCACAGTCTGCTTTCTATACCTGGAATATTCTACTCCCTCTTCTTCACTGAAAGATATTCCTGTTTCACCCTCAGGTCTGCGTTTAGGTGTCTCTTCTTCCAGAAAGCCTTCCCTAAGCCAACCCACCCCCGCAGACCTGGTCAGGACCTTTCATTGGGCCTCTGCAGTGCTAGAAGCTGCTCTCTGTCACAGCACTTTTCACTGTGGGTTGTCACTGCTTTCTCCCTTATGAAGTTTATCTCAGAGCCTAACAGAGTAAGAGGGGTTAAATTCTTACTGAATGAAGGAATGGATGAATAGAGGGAGGAATGAACAGTAAACCTGTTGCCTAAAGCTGGGGCAGAGGGAAGGGCATAAAAGTCTCTCTGGGATGGATTCATCTCACAGCGTCAGAGCAAGGGCAAGTAGAGAGTCTCCAGTGAGAGGGAGGATGGGACACTCAAACAACTGCTTCAACCAGCTGGTGGTTTCTCCTTTCACTTGGCCTTGGGACCTCAGTCAGTGCCCCCAGGAGGTGCAGGAGGTTGGTATGACTCTTTCTTTACCACCATCTCTTCCTTTCTGTGTGTGGTCCCAGGGCCGTGGTCCATATCCAGGTGAAGGATGTCAATGAGTTTGCTCCCACCTTCAAAGAGCCAGCCTACAAGGCTGTTGTGACAGAGGGCAAGATCTATGACAGCATTCTGCAGGTGGAGGCTGTTGATGAGGACTGCTCCCCCCAGTACAGCCAGATCTGCAACTATGAAATCGTCACCACAGATGTGCCTTTTGCCATCGACAGAAATGGTAAGTATCCTCAGAGGACCCCCGTGGGATCAGGAAAACAAATCCACCACCTCCACTCTGAAGGCCCAAACAGGGCTCTGAATGTGCTTGGCAAGTTATGCCTCCCTTGCCATGTTTGGTCTAAGCTCCATAACCCAGAACTCAGTCCCATGCTTGAGGGAATGGCCTTATCTGATTAGCAGCCCTGCCATGTCTAAAACACCCTCAGGAAACCTCAGAAACCTACTCACTCAATGTAGTCTGTACAACTCACGGTGCCACACATCTGGATACTGAAGATGGTTGGTTTCCTGGTCAAATTTTCCAGTTGTCATCCAGAAGTGAGTCATGCCATCAGCTTGGCCGTATCTGGGTCTCTTTCCTATGTAATAAGTCGTAATACCAGCCCTATTGCCCCCAGATGAAGAGATGCTAAGAGAAGAGGTGGGACTTTTGAAGTACCTTCTAAACCATAGATTCATTCAGGATTTTTTTTTTTTTTTTTGAGATGGAGTTTTGCTCTTGTAGCCCAAGCGACAGTGTCGCGTCAAGTACAATGTCGTGATCTTGTCGCCCAAGTACAACTTTGTGATCTTCACTCACTGCAACCTCCACCTCCTGGGTTCAAGTGATTCTGCTGCCTCAGCCTCCTGAGGAGCTGGGATTACAAGCATGCACCACCATGCTCAACTAATTTTGTGTTTTTAGTAGAGATGGGGTTTCACCATGTTGGTCAGCCAGTTTCGAACTCCTGACCTCACCTGATCCACCCACCTTGGCCTCCCAAACTGCTGGGATTACAGACATGAGCCACCACGCCCAGCCTCATTTAGGATTTTATAAAGCTCTTGCCAATGTCCTTTTTGAGAATTTCAACCCCAGTGAGAATGAAGAATGAAAGAACCCTCCCATGATAATGCAATCCCAGACTGAGCAAGACTGAAAGCATTCCTATAAAGCCATTTGGACATTTCCCCATCACCACGAATAGAAAACTCATTGTAGTATAAACACCACAACCAGAGGCCCAACAACTCAGCCCACTTTAACTGTAAATTCCAACACCTTCAACAGCTAAAATCAAGTGTAATTATTTGCCAAGTACATTGTTTAATTATTAGTGTGAGTTTGTGGGTGTTTGTATGTTCTTCCTACTTTGTTTCCAATAAGATTTAAGTAGCACACAAAGACGCAAAAGTTGCCAAATTCAAACTCCATTCACTCTGTAATTATTGAGTGCCAGGCATGGTGCTGAATACTGGAAAGGAGATAGAGTGGAACTCAAAATAGACATGGGCCTGTCCACATACAGCTCATCATCTAGTGGAAAAAAATAGAAAATCCAGTGGCAGCAAGGGTGAAGTTGGTGCACAAAGCATGCCATGAACCAGGGTTGGGCAACAAATTAGCTCTGTACCTCCTGATAGCCAATGTCTAGAGGAAAATAGCCTCAGCCACCTGCTTGTACACCTTCAGGAGAAACCCAACACTTCTTGATGTTGAGACCAGGTAGAAACTTACTTTATGGCACTGTCTTCTGCACCCTGAGACTGCGGCAGATGCCATAGGGGCTAGAAGCCAAGGAGACACTCTCATCCCTGTCTTTAAGTAGCTTCGGATCAGTCTGGGAAGACAGAACTAATATTCATAAGACAGAAAAAATAATAATAAGATAATTTCCCTCTAAAATGCTAAAACATGGGGAAAAGACAATTACATACCTGGACACCACGAGATAATTGTACAGGCCACAATGTCAATGCACAAGCAAGTAAAGGAGGAAATATAGGACTTTAATTAAAGTTTGGCTCAAAACTAAGAAGAAGGTAATTTTAATTAGTAGAGCCTGTCAGAACCATTCCCTGGTAGTTTCTCCCACAGGCTCTGTGAAATGGCTAGCCTGTCCCCACCACAGAGGCACACATGGGCACACACCGCTCCATAAAATATAGAACAACTTCTTTGTATTTGTCTCCTCTGGGTTTCTTTTTCTATATAATCAGTTGCGCAGCATATTCCATAAAAGCTTTGGAATTTGGGGAGTGACAAGTCCATGGTGAATAGCAAGACTAGACAAGTGGAGGTGTCTGTGCTCAGTGGTCAAACTCTACTTGGCCTCCTGCCCTAGTTCTGAAGAGCCACAGCTCAGTGAGAGATGAGATGCAAATTCTTTCTTTGGAGGGTAAACTGCCCCAGTCATGAAGATAATTACTCACCTTGATGAGCCATTTTGCTAACATATGCCAATTTATTTCCCTGGCTGTCTCATTAAAAGTGAGTAATGGGCCTTTGCCAGGTTTGTGCCTCTGATGCTGGTTTACAATCTAAGATGAAGAGGATAATGGGCACTCTCAGGGAGTGTGGGCCCCTGATAGCGAGGTGTACAGAAGCAGTCCTCCAGGTAATGAAGCAGGACCAAGGGGCAGACACAGAGACGGCTCCCATTCTAATGAGCTTCCCAATTGGCTCTTATCCATCAGTTTCTCTGAGCGACCTTTCTGGCTCCTTGAAGAAGCATTTTGCATGCTCATAGGGAAAGTGCTGCTGAATTTAGAGCCTGCTCATCGAGGCCTAGGTTTCCCCTGCCCCATGGCTTCAGATAGATGTCTCCTGTCCCCTCCAACCTTCCAGGCTCTTTGCTTGTGGGGTAAAGAATAGCAGCAGGGAGAATAGAAGACACAGTGTGGAGTCAGCCTGACCTGGCTTTAACCAGAGACTCACCCTGTTCCTGCCAGAGGCCTTCAGACTCCCTTTGAATTCCTCCGCATGAAATTATGGCATTATCAGTCCTTACCTCATTGTGGGGTTGTGAGTACTCAAGGAGAAGCAGTGTGTGGGGATAATGTTTGCTGCAGGGTATCTGACATACAGAGAGCATTCAATTAATGGTGCCACAGTTATTAAATATTTACCTGGGTGATTGGGACATGAGATTTCTTTACCAGGCTTAAATTATGAGCAGGTAGCTATGAGTGCATCATATCACCTTCCTCTTGGAAAGTTCTGGATCTATTTGAGATGGCCTCATCTGCTAGCTAGTTTTTCTGAGATAAGCAGAGCTTGGGTCCTTAAAATTGAATCCTAAAACATAAAGAGCTAGCCTAATAACACTGTCACAGTGGTGATAGAGCTAGGACTCAACCCGGGTCTCCTGAGTGTGAGCCCCAAGGCCTTTCCATCAGATCACACCTCCTTGATGATAACTTACAGAGTGCATGGCAGTGGTGTTTAAGTTTGCAAACACAAAGTATGGGGCAATGTCAGCAAAAAGGCAGAGAAGGAGATCCCAGCCTTCATTCCTCCACAAAGTACAATCAGACAGCTATCTATGAAAGAAAATAGCTGTAGGAGAGCTCAGGAGTCCAGTTGAGAAGATACAGCAACACATTGTAAGAAAAACAATGAGAATAATTGCACAAAAAGAGTAGGAAGAACAGTTTCATCTTGCATGCATCAGCTCATCCCCCAGACCAGCATTGCTTAGCACAGAGAGAGAACTCCTTAGCTCAAAAGTTACCCTTGAAGAGAAAACATAATGGGATGAACAACCAGTTTCCTGAGATTTCAGGACACTCCCCCAAAGGACCTCTTTCAGTTTCACCCCACCCCAAATAGCTGGGGAGATCAGCGTGACTGAGACATTTGGAGACATCTGGGAACAAAGAAGCATGGCGCTATCAGTATCAGCAATGTCGCAGGAGCCACCAGGGTCCCCAGTGGCTGCTCTGCATAGGACCCCAGCTGTCTTCTACCCTCAGGATCTTGACAGCCTCACAGCCACCACACACCCCTGACTGGTTTTCACTGCCAAGGAGCCCACAATGTTTACTATTATGGAACTCAGCAGCTTCTGCCACTGAGGAAACCAACAACCAGTACAGCCACAGGGGCCCCTCACAATTTTTGCTGAGGACCCCACAGTTTTTCACTTTTGCAGTTTCTAGGTGCTTGAGTTACCACCTCTCTTCTTCTCCTCTCCCCAAAGCTTCCCTAGTGCTGCCATTATAGACACCCCAACCCGGGAACCCAGGGAAGCCACTACACGTATGCCCCAAAACGGCCTGGGCTCCAGCCAAATATCCATCTGTCACCACGACGTGTGTACCTGTGACTAACCCCTTGGCTGTGTGTACCTGAGCAGCTGGCCCCAACTCCCATTACCAGCTCTAACAGCTGAAAATATGTCTGCATCTGGCTTCTGTGCCTACATGCATTCTTACCCCCAGCCCTGGCTCCTACAGCTGTACACGTGCAAACCCCAACTTTTGTCCCTGGCTCCCACCATTGTGCTTATACTTGCAGCTCACCCCTGCAGCTGCGTACACGTACACTTCCAGCTTGATCCCCATAGCTGCAAATGCATATGTAGCTGGCCTAACTCCTATTGGTGACCCCCACCACCACATGGGTGCCTGCAGCTCGTCCTTACAATTGCACACATGTATACCATGAGCCTTGACTGCTATAGTCATGTATGTACATGCCATCAGCCACCATATAACCACAGTTGGCTCTGCCCCAGCCCTAACCATTATGTGCATGTCCACAACTGAGTATGAACACACCAATGGCCCTGACTCCCCCTGCTGGGTGCACCAGTCCTTTGTCACTGGACCCAGGGCACCACTGAGTATACCTACAGTCCTGTCAGACACTGTGGACCTCCCACAGCCTTTGCCACACCAAGGTACACACAGTTGCAAATGTTACAGACCTCAGCTCCTGAACCAATAAGACATTGCATCCCTCTCCAAGACCTGGAGCCACCATACACTAGGCACTAAGCATGGTGCCACAGTGCTGTCCAGCATTACCCTTCCCCACCCTCACCTACCCATAGGTGAAGGATTTTCCTTAATGAATCCAGTTCATAAAGTCTGGAAAAGGTGATTGTTTCTTCAAATGCTCACACACTTACGCAAGACTACAAATATCATGAAGGATCAGGGACATGCAGTAGCACCAAAGAAACACGATATACTGTCAGTAAGTAACCAACTCCAAAGAATAGCTATTGAATT